CAAATAGCAAACTACATAAGATGCTAAGATTATAAGAAGGAACTATTGACATGCAAGTTACTGAAAAATGATGGATGGGGATAATAAGAAATAATTTCTTAAAAAAAAATGTATCCTCAAAATCAAAATCTTCGAACACAATTAAAAATGTGAACACAAAAGCAAAGTGTTTTAGTCTGAAAACAGAAAATTTGAGGCATTAAGCTCAAAAGATAAAAAGCTACAAGAGACATGAGATAAAGAAAGCTGGACTGATTTACTCTTCATCGTCCTCATCATCATCATCACCACCTGCTCCATTCAATGCCTTGACTCTCTCGATCAACTTGTTCTTCCTCTCCTCGTACGTCAGTTTCTTCAAGTTGTACCTGTTTTAGTTTATACAACAATCAATCAAAAACACCAAGTGAGATAACAATACACCAATGAGCCAGTACTACAGAAGACTAATAAAGTTGCTTTTGTTTCTTTACCTCTTGTGTTGCTTGGGGGCAGGTTTCTCGGTTTTCTTTGGGTTGGGGTCTGCGCGAATAGCCGCGTGAACCTTCTTGTACAACTCTTCGATGCTCTCAGCTTCAACTCCTTTCTTGATGTATGCACTGAAGTGAGTTTGTAGCTTCTCTGGCTCATCTTCTCCCAACAGCTTCATGTAGTTTGAAACATGGCCACCATAGATGTAGTTCCTGTGGATTTCAGCATCAAGTTGTTTGTTCTCCTTGTTGAATCCAGCAAATCTCTTGTCACTGTGAGGGATATCAAGACCTCCATCCAAAGCACCCTACAGTTTCATGAAGCAAACCAAAACGGAATTAAAGAATTGCCAGTATCATCATTTGCTCAAGAAGAAAAACAGATAAAAACACTTCTAGCATATTAAATAAGAAAACAAGTTAAGTACCTTGAGGGCACCAAACACACGGTTTCCTGTTGTGGTCCTGATAAGTCCGACATCAAGAAGAGCACGGAAAGGTCTCCTCGACTCAGTTGGCTCAATGGAAAAGTCCTCTCCAGTGGCCTGATTCATTGTATGATTTGAGTATTTTAACAAGAGAAAAAAAACTCATGTTTTTCTATTAAATGAAACCCCACAACATACCTCTACATTGCCCTCATACTCGTCATCCATTTCCAACATCTTCAGAACACGGCGAGCCAAAAGGAGGCCAGTACAGTAAGCTACATTACACATAAGTAAACTCATGAACACAGAATCAAACATAAAATTGGAAAACAAAAGCAGGACTAATTCAATACCTGCAGCATAGTTTGTAAGACCAACAGTGAGACCATACTGAGGCAACTCATGTGCGTAAGCAGAAGCTTTAACAATGTCACCAGCAATGCTTGCAGAGACAATCTGTGCCACTATGTCTTTGTTGGTAAACCGGACAACAAAACGGTACTTAGGTGTATTGTACTTGTTCTTATCCTGATTGATAAGACGGATCCTTGCCCTGTAATCAGTCTTCCCATCTACACAAAAATGAAAGAACTTTCAGAAACATATTGAAAATAAGAGAGATTAAACAATATCATCAGAAAAAACGAAATCAAGAATCTAGTACCTCTTCTTCTCCTGAACTTAACTTGGTACCTCTTGAAGTAAGCATTCGACTTGGAGGACTTCACAAACACCTAACAACAACAAATCATCTTAGTTTATTAGTCTAAGATCCAACAACATAACTGTTCTTTCGATGGTAACAAAGATCTAAGGTCAAGACTCCATTAAAACGTATCAGTGACTTCTAAAACAGAACAAAGTCTCAAGCTTTTCCTATTTCAATTCTCTAATAAGTTATAAAACCAAAAACCCATGAAGTAAAACATCTATAAAGGTGGATACAACGATAGAATCGTGAATTCTCGTTACCATATCTAAGCAAAAGAAATGCAGGAGATCTCTATATGAAATGAAGATCAAAATACGATTTTCTTAAGAGAAGATTAAGAAGAAACGATGGAGAAATGAGAAGAGATAGAAAGATTGAAGGTAGGGTTTACCATTGTTTGATTCCTCTAGCAACGAGAGGCTTTGCCTGTGAGATTGAGAGTGACGAGAAGACGAGAGGCGGAATGACCTAAATGCGACATCTTATAAGACAAAACCCTAGAAAATTCCTCTTGGGCTGAAAAGGATTTAATGGGCTTGAGTTGTTGTATTAGTAATGGGCCCATGGGCTTTATAGGTACCTTTCTCTACTCCACCCATTTTATAGCCTAATCCGTTTTTACGCTTTAGAGGTAAAGTGAGAAAAGTTTCACAATCCAACGAAATTCTACCTCTGTTTCACACTGAGTAAATAAAAATGAAGAACTTTGCTCTATTTTGTTGGTTCTGTTTCGATCCATTTGCTCTACCTCTGGATCATTCAATTTGCTTAGCGTATGGATAATTCAATTTGAGTGATTTCAGATGGATTGTGGTTAAGACTTTTTATTTGGTGAAGGATTTTAAATGTGTTTTGGCCAAATGAGTAATCTCTATCTGGGAAGATAACAATCATTTAAGTAACTCAAGCCAATCCAAATGAGTGGATGTTTTCAACAGTTTGCTATTCGCGGGAGAATTTCACAGCTTCAATCACCGCAGAGAAGTCGAGATCTCCCAGTCCCAAGCTTCTCGCCTTCTTAAAAGCCTGTCGAAAACCGAAACTTTTTTTTTGTCAGATCAATGCTAAGAAGACAATCCAGAGGAGAGCCAATCTGTTCTTGTGTCTGAGTAACTGACCTCATTCGCAGCCGCGGCTACAGGCATGGAAACAGCATTTTCATCGCCAAGAGCAAGAGCTAGCCTCATGTCTTTCTGCTGATGTTTCAGTGGAAATGCTGGTGGGTAACTGCTCTTATTCATTGAAGGTCCTTTGCCCTTGAACATGGGGTTGGTCATTGCGCCAAGATCCTGCCCATAGCAAAACCGATTTAACCAACAGCATTATTTCAGAGCTTGCAAAGTATGATCATCTCACCAGGATATCCAGAAGAGTGTCAGAGCTAAGTCCACTCTTGTCAGCCAATACAAGCCCCTCGGAGAATGCATTCATCATGCTGTATCAGACGGGAAAAGATAGTATCATGAAGTCATGTTCCATTCATACTACTAACGATAGTAATCGTAAAAGAGACGGACATTTACCTTCCCATTATCATGTTCACTATTAGCTTCATCTTAGCTCCGTTTCCAACTTGTCCCAAGAAAAACGATCTCTTCCCCAAGACGTCAAAAACTGGAATTGATTCCTCAAATAGCGCCTTGCAAGAAAACATTAAACACAAACGAATTATAGCGGCATATCGAGAGTTCCTACTAAGTCCAACTAAAACAGTTCTCGAGATCCATCAATCGATCCAGAAGTATAGTTTTGAGTTGTACCTTGTCACCAGCAGCAAGGATAATGAGTTGGCCATCTTCAGCTGGCTTTTTGCTACCTGAAACCGGACCTTCTACGAACCAACCACCCTTCCCCGTGATTGCCTGCCAATATCCAACACAGCTATATCAAACTAATCAACCTTTTCTTAGTCTAAACATCATCAGCTAAAGTACAAAAGATTCAACCTCATTGATCTTTAAAGAAGTCTCTGCATCAACAGTTGACATATCGATATAACCTTTTCCTTCACATATCTGCTCCAAAACACCGCCTTTATCGAAAACAACCTAATCAAATCAAACAACCGGAAATTGTAACTATTTTCGATACTTCATATCAATCATCACCAATGCTAAAACACACACAAAAGTAGCAAAAAGGATTCAAAATACCGAAAGAGCAGCACAAGGATCAGAGAGCATAGCAATAGTGTATTTGCATTTCTTGATTACTTCAGCTGGACTCTCACATACTGATGCACCATGCTCCACAAGTTCATCACACTGTCACACAATCATCAACATTCCCCAAAAATTGCATTAAATTAATCAAAGTTTCCAACTTTATCAGATCTGAACTACCAAAACTAAATCAGACAAACCATTATCCATTAACACAATCAAAAGCAGAAAATTTTGTTTTTTACCTTGGAGAGTGTTCTGTTCCATACAGTGACTTTGAATCCATGTTTCAATAGATTCATTGACATGGCTTTACCCATGATACCCAAACCCAGAAACCCTACCTCCATTTTTTCTCTCTATCTCTGCGATTATAGTGCTTAGTGATGATGGTCTGAGAATGATAAAGCCGGAGCCTTTTTCTAATCAGAGAACCATTATCATCAAACACTTCATTCAAAAGACTGTATTTACAATTTACTCCCTAAAGTTTGGTTCGTTTTGCATCTCTAACTGGCAGCTTAAGAAGACCGAACAGGATTTCGCCACGTGGATGAAGTTGGCTAAAACTCCACTGTCGTGGTGGGAATCTTTTTTTTTCTAATCAGTGTGGGCACGTGAGAAGTTCCCAATCAAATTTATTTGCAGAGTTCCACCCTGAAGTTATAGAAGAATTATTCATTTTGTCTAATATTTTAAGAAAGTTTCATTTAGTCCATCATTCTAATTTTTTTTTTTTTTTTGACATTTTTAGATCGATAAGACTCGATCCATAATCAATCCCTACTACGCAGAGTAACGCGATTTAGTGGAGTCAAACTCTGATGAGGAAGTCAGAGTAAAATGAACTCAACTACTTGACTAAAGGCACATCCTCATCCATCATTCTAATCTTAATGGCTTCTTTTCTATTTTTGTGCTCTTACAATTCGGGAGATCTACGGTAAACAATTTTCTTCTATATATATAATATGGTAGTTCCGAACTTCGGCTCATAATCTCTTCCAGAATTCGAAAATTCAGCTTTTAGATATTCCGGTTTAAAGAATAACACTACGGTATGCGGATGTCATTTCTAAACTACAAGTAAACCTAAGTTTTTTTTCTTCTATAATATTAGGATTTTTTCTGCTTTAAAAACTCTTTTAATTCTTTTTCGGGTTTAAGGTTAATATCTGTTTTTCTAAAATGAATAAAATTAGTCTTTGGACTTTGGAAGTATTTAGGGAATGCAAGTGCTTTTTTTTTTTTTTTTTTTGTTATGTTATCTCTTTTTTGTGTGTGTGGTTGGCGACTCTTAGGCTCAGCCTTTTGCAAATTTGCCTCTCGTCTTATTTCCTCTTCTTTTCCTTTGCTTTGGGCCACTAGTCTTTCGCTTGAGGGAGAGATGGAGAAAAACTGAGAATTTGAGAATAACGAAACTTGTTATCGTTGAAGAAACTCAATTACAGTTTCGGTTTCTTCCTGAATATGGCAGCAATAGCAGGAGGATCATTTGGAGTCCCAAGCTCTCGTATCTCTATAGCCACTCCAACTCTCTCTTCCTCTTCTTTGCTTCCACCACTAACATTGGTCTGTAATGTCTTCCATTTCCATGGACTTTGTATCTCATTTGACTCATTTGAATTGACTCTGTATGATTCGTCTTTCCTTGTAGCAATCAGTTACTAGAAAGGATAACCTTTTGCGGTGTGCCGTGCAAGAGTCTTCCACTTCTGCTGGTAACGATTGATGCATAAAACAGAATGTTTGGTTCAATAACACGAGAATAACTTTCTTGTTCTCTTCCTAGTCACTACTGAGAAGAAAGATAAAGAAGACAAAAATGAGTCAACAGTGGCGGTTCCGGCAAAGAAACCTAAACCCGCAGCTGCGGTGGCGAAACCGCTGAGACAAATGATGGAAGAAGACGTGATTCCTCCGTTAAAAGCCATTCTTGAATCTCAAGACGATATCTCTGAGATCGATTTATCTTACCAAGACGATAAGGTTTCTTGATTCTAACTTTTTATTTTTTGTTTTTCATTGAATTATGGGGCCATGCTTATCTACACTATATCGTTCCAATTTTATCGGATGTCCTCGAAATGACTTCTTGATTCTAACTTGTAAGACACTTATCATTGATTCATATCTCTAACTAACTTGTGTTATTTGAGCCAGTTGGAAGGTTTTTTCTTGAAGAAAAGTATTCCATATTCCTTTTGGGCCTTCTTCCCTACTGGAAACCTTACAGGTAATTAGTCATTAAATCTTTTTCTTCAGATTCTTGCAGAAAATTTCAATGCTAACATTATGTCTTTGGTTTGTGTTTCTTAAAACAGGAGCAAAAGGATTTTCAATATCCTCACACGGGTCAGGTCCGAGCACCGTGGAGCCGTTTCTCGTTGACGAGAGGAAACCAACCGCAAACCACGTTGTGTTTTGGGTCGAGAAGCGCCTCGCTGCGCAAGGGATCATTCCCGTTTGGAACCAATGATGTTTTTATTCACTTGTAATTATTACATTTGTATACCAACTAAAAATTGAAGAAAACATAAAAATCCTTGTCTCAAAAATGGATTAAGAAACACATGGCCCTCTTTTAGAATGTCTAGTTAGAGCTTTTAAACATGGCCTACAAATATAGATATATAAACATCTTTTAGCATAAGGCATACAAATAGTTTGAGACAACTATGAGAAACATCATTTGTTTAAGCCAATCTATTTTCAGTTGAGTCTATTCTCTTCCTAGCCTTCTCAGCCTGCAAAATCATATAATGTAGAAGTTTAAAAAAAGAATAGAATGTAGAAGTGTAAAAAACTGAAATGGCTAATCTTATATTTTACCTGTTCCTTCCAATTTATGGAAGTTGTGACAATAGCCAGTATAGTAGCTTGTACAGTTGATCCAACCACAACACCGCACCAAAGTCCTTTTCCGTTCAACCCACGACTGAAAGCTAAGTAAATTCCAACAGGAGCTCCTACGAGATAATAAGAAACAGTATTGTTCCAAGCTCCAATGTGTTGCCACCCACTTCCTCTAGCAACCCCATTAAGAACTGCTGTGAAGCCGTCGAGGATGAAAGAGAGACAGAGCAAAGGAGTCAGGTCAGCGACATAGTCCAAAACTTCTTTGCTGTTGCTGAATGCGTAGCCTATGATGTTCCTGAAGGCGAAGAGAAGTATGCTAAAGAAAGCTGATTCTACTATCCAGAGACAAAGCCCTGCTAATACTGAAACCCTAGCAACTTGAGGATTCCCAGCTCCCAAATTGTTTGATACACGTGTGCTGCAAGAAACCAATCACTAAATGTTTAGGGAAGGATTATCCATAGTAAGATGAAGATGTTCTGAATGATAGAATTGAGATCATACCTCACAGCCGCGGCGACTCCAGCTGCAATCACATAGTGCAAAGTTTCTATTGTAAGACTGAAAAGAAGAAAATAGGATTAATACTTTTAAATAAAGAGGATACAAAAGATGAAAAGAAGTCTTTGTATATTATTTACCATATGGAAAGAACAGAGGTCTCGAGTTTCGGGTTAGGGAGAAGACCTGAGCAGAGTATGAGTATCTCAAATAGCCACCATTCTAGGCTATTAAAAGAAAACAGAGAAAATGCAAGCGAGATAAGAAGAAGCATTAGGGTATGTAACTTGACGGACAAACAACTTCAAATAACTTACCAAATCATTGCAGCTGATGGGATTCCGTATTGGAAGAACTGCTTGATAGAAGACACAAAATTTTCGGATACAAATCCGCGAGTCTTCTCGCAGGAGCTGGAGAATTTCACATAACATGAGAGTATCACAGCGTAAAACCAGAAAGACACACTAGTAGCCATGGCAGGTCCATTACTTCCCAGACCAAACAAGAAAACCAAAGTCCAACAAACAAAAACGTGGAACAAAAGGGTAGTCACGGCAGTGAAGAGCAGAGGAAGAACCAGCCCTTGTGTCAGCAGAAACCGGGACAGTGGTATGACGATCGCTTGGCCGAATAAAGTCGGTATGAGCCAAAAGGCGTAGGAGCCAGCGATTCTTGAAATTTCAGGGTCTTGTCCTAGAGCAATCAAGATCTTTTCAATGTAAAGCCAGATAATTGATATGAGGAAACAAATTGTTATGTTGGAAGCAATTGCAGAGTATGCGTAAGTTCCGATTTTGTCGTATTGTTTGGCTCCATAAGCTTGGCCACAAAGAGTTTCAAGTGCACCCACTAATCCACACTGCAAAAATAATTGAAGCGTTTTCAATACTTTGAGAGTAAATTGGATTCCTGAATTGAAGAAGTGAGAGTACTCATAGCATAATTAATTACCATAATGCTGAAACCGGTGACGTTTGTGAAGGAGGTTGCAAGAGCCACACCGGAGAGCTGGAGCTCGCCGTTGTGGCCAGCGACCATGACTGAGATGACAGGCAATAAGTACTGAGCAATGGTCACGGTGGCCATAGGAGCGGCCAAGCGGCTCAGTTTCTTTAGCTCGACGGTTAATTGATTTGTTTGCCATGTGACTGGAGAGGGGACTAGAAGCTCGTCTCTCGGAAGAAATGGCTCCTCCATTGTTATCTTTCTAATGTTTTAGGCCTTGCCTTTGATTTAAAGATGATATTATATCTTTATAGACCGACTAAGTCAAATAGTCAATAAACAACAAAGGCAACTCGAACTACAAACGTGGTGACGAAGTAGATATAAAAGAATAGTAAGATAGCAAAATCGTTTTGACTTGCTGAAAATATAGAAACTAGTGGCACACAAAATGACATGACATTAGTGTTAATACTGTTTAATGCTTTACTAGAAAACAACCCGCACTATGTGCGAGATGAAACAATTTAAGTAAAACTATTATACGTAAAATTATTATATGGGATCCAAATTCCGTTTGTATAAAACAAAATATATATAACAAAAGTTTTTTGTTTTATTCAAATTTGCAAATAATTTGTATAAAATTTTTTACTCACCCGTAAAATATTTGAGCGAGGTAAATACTTCCTTGTGGAGAAAATATTGATGAAATATTATCATTTATGGCACATATATCTTTTTGTGTATTTAATAATTAAATTCATATATTTTTTGTTACATGTGACCGCAGTCATCAAACATCAAAACTAAAATGCTTCACTATATGATTACATGTAGACTCTTGGTAAAAAAATTCATTAATATTTGATCAACTAAATAAAACCTTAGAGATTGAAAGTATTATGGGTTCCATATATATTCCACAATATCATTCCTACATTTTCTAATTCTTAAAAGTTTTAAATCGATATTTCATATAAAGTATCATAATTTCTTTATATTTATATTTTCGTAAGGATTTTTTTGGATAAGTTAATTAATATATCTTAATATTCTTTTGTTTTGTATATGGTAATATTATACGAATATGGTAAAATGATAGAGTCCATAATGAGAGTTTTGAGGTAATTATAAATTCCGTTATTAACTTATAGTTACCAAATACTATAATCAGTGGAAGAATTTGAATTAAGTGGAATCGTGGTAACCAATATAATGGATTGATGTAATTTTTTTTGGATTAATTAATGAGTAAAATAAGTGTTATTAATATCAATGGCAAATTGATGTAAATAGTATAGTAAAGGATGGACAATTAATTAAATAGGTTAAGGAGCTCTATAAACTCGACACATCATCATGACATTTTCGTTAATCACATGTGAGGGTAAGATTATTTTTTAAAAATGTTTCTCAATTAATATATAAGGGATATCAAGAACATATGTGAAGACTAATACTCTTATTTTTCAGAGAGTTTGGACATTCAATCTTGTGTTAATTACTTGTGTGGAGTTTAAGCACCAAATCAATATTTGGCGAATCCTTTATCGTCATTTCCTTAGCTTAAGTTCTGATTCTTTAGACCAATTTTAAGGACATTTGGATCTGATTTTACAAAGGTTTTAGTAAATAATTTTGTGGTTGAAAATAGTAGTGGCAGCCACTCTCAAATAGAATCCAAAGTTTCGTCAGAGATTTGTCGTGAAGGTTCGAGTTTCAAAATCTGAACAGTATTGAATTATGAGCCTAAAAGATCTCTCGGAAATGGTTCACAAAGAAGTTATATTGGTAGAAGATTGCGGTTATAGTCACAAAGACTAGAAAATAAATTTATTGGGAATGACTATAAAATTAAGGGGAATTGTAAGAATGACTTGTGAAAAAATTAGAAAAAATGTTTTTGGATAAATGATAAGTATACTCGAGTAATTTATATTATTTAAATAAAGTACATTGAGAGTTCGAAGAAGATTTTTTTTTTTTTTTTTTTTTTTTTTTTTTTTTTTTTTTTTTTTTGCAAAGGCATGCATTTTCCTCATTTTATTTGGTCATAAGATCATTATATTAGTTTTTATTTTTAAACACACAACTATTATGTTAATTTTAAATAGATTCAAGAACTTTATGTTTTATGATTTGTCAAATAGCAAAAACTAAAATAAAAATTATTGTGGGTAGTTTTTTGTGGGTTTTTGCCTTTTGGTTAATCATAATGACAGTTTGGTTAATACAATAGTTTATTTTAGCAAGGGTGATATGAGTTTTCCCCCACATATTTGTCTTCTTCTAATTATCTCATTTTGGAAGGTGTAGTTAACTAATATAACGAAAGAACAATGTCATTTTAAGTAATTTCACTAAGAAAAAACATACACATAAATCTTTTAAGAACATTTTTATAACACATCAAATACACCATATATGCAATTTTGCTCAAGAGTCAAGACCTACAAAAATAGTTTGAGATAGCTCTCAGAAACACCCTTCTTTTAAGCCAATCTATTTTCAGTCGAGACTATTCTCTTCCTAGCCTTCTCAGCCTGCAAATCATAGATTCCAAATTCCAATTACTTCATCAAAGAAAGAAAATAAAAGAATATTCAAGTGTAACAAGCTAAAATGGCTAATCTTCTATTTCAGGTTTTTTACCTGTTCCTTCCAATTTATGGAACATGTGACGAAAGACAGTATAATGGCTTGCACAGCGGATCCGACCACAACACCGCACCAGAGTCCTTTTCCGTTAAACTCACGATTAAAAGCTAAGTAAACTCCAACCGGAGCTCCTACGAGATAATAAGCTACCACGTTGTTCAAAGCTCCAATGTGTTGCCAACCACTTCCCCTAGCAACCCCATTAAGAACTGCGGTAAATCCGTCGAGAACAAAGGAGAGACAGAGCAAAGGAGTTAGGTCAGCCACATAGTCCACAACTTCTTTGCTGTTGCTAAATGCGTAGCCTATGATGTTCCGGCAGGTGAAGAGAAGTGTGGTAGAGAAAACTGATTCTACCAGCCAGAGACAAAGCCCTGCCAATACTGAAATCCTAGCAACTTGAGGAATTCCAGCTCCCAATTTGTTTGATACGCGTGTGCTGCAAGAAACCAAATGACTAATGTTGAGGAAGGAATTGTTGAACGTGTCTATGTTTGAAAATTGAGATCATACCTCACAGCCGCCGCGACTCCAGCTGGGATCACATAGTGCAAACTTGCTGTTGTAAGACTTGCGTAAAAGAAATAGGATTCATTAGTTTTTAATAAAGATAA